ATAAAAATATATACACACTATATATCTATAAAATAGATATACATATACATACAGGTTTTATTTCAATGTTTATATATGTGTGCATATTAAAACACATATATTGCTTGTTTAAATATAATCGAACATTACTAAGCTTGGAAATAATGGATATCATTTCTTTGCAGCCTGACAAAAACATCAGCTGGAAAAGGGAATCATGAACAAAATGTACAAGCTGCTCTAAAGAAAAAAGGGAATGCGAGCAGCAATTCAGCAGCACAGCAAAAGGCTCAAAACACACCTACCAATTCTCCCAAGAACCAAGGTAAATTTTCACAGAGCAGTGAAACAGTCTCCCATTATTATGCAAAGCTTTGTCTTTTATTTTTTTTAGCATAAGCATCTGGCAAAATCTTCTGAACGGTTCTGTTTATTTTCATATTTCACTTTTGGTGACGATCCTAAACTGAAAAATGCAAATGAATGTGTGTCGACTTCAAAATACTTAAGATGCTCTTCACTGCCAATTGGTGTTTTCTTCCACTTGTTTAATCTGCTTTGCAGAGTCTTTTATTTGCTGATCCCCTGCACTTCTGCACTTGGAACCATGACTGAGTTCAACAGAAATTCTGTAGGTCAAGCATTTATAATATGCATCAAATATCAAATGCATCACTACTTTATGGACTGTTAGTTTATGCCTCCCTTTTTTGGCTATTCCTCCTAGGGGTAGCACTACTGATACTGACCTACCCCACACACTAATACTTTGTTTCAACAGCTATTTATATCAAATGTGGGAAATTACATTGTAGACCACAGAGAGAAAAGCCTGTGTTATAAAGATGCAAAGTGTTAAGGATGGACCTCTTTTTAATCCCATTTGGACTTGGCACTTACTGGAGGGGAAAGAATATCTGAGTTATGTTATCTTAAATGCATTATGATATAGAAAACACAGCTCCTGTCAATTTGTGGTCATTAAAGATCTTGCAGTATTTTCTGACTGAGCAGGGACACTAATTCTGGCATTCTAATCACATTATAACTAATGTAATTATTTTCTGCCTACTTTCATTTCCTTTGCTACATAAATTGAACACAGTACTCATCACTTCCTGTGCTAAGCTGCTGTGCAGTGTTTCTGTGCACTATTAGATGGCTGCTGCTTTCTGCTCCAGTGATGACTACCTCAGTTACAGGTTGAAGTAATTCCTTTACATATCATCTGTGAAGTGCTCTAGTTTTAAAGATGGCATGTAAATGCAAGATGGTAATTTTGGCTGCTCTTTGTTTAAGTTCTCAGTTCTCAATTCTTTAACAAGCCTTTAGTTACCTTAAACGTTGGGTAACTTGCTTCTCAACGCAAACACTAACATAAATTTGGTGACTATACTTTGACGTATACAATCTTTATAGTTTGGGTTTCTTTCTTATACTGTTTGTTAGGACCTCAGGGGGAATCACCAAATTCCCTGAAATCAGGAATGTCTCCAAAACATAACGAAGACAAAAATGTGTTACAACATTTGGTTCAGACAACACTCCCAGAAAAACATCCTTCAGCCAAGAAGAGGAGTGTTAAGCAGTCGCAAACACCTGTAGCAAAAGCCACTGCAAAAATAACACCTAAAACTCAGGCTCAGTCAAAGCACGCTGAGATTATGAATAATAAAGACCCAAAACCGAAAACAACTGTATTAAAATCTCAATCCTCTGCCCAAAAACATTCAAGGAGTGAATCTCCTGTTGTCCAGAAGAACGGTCACGTCTCTGAGCACAGAAGCTCAGGACAGAAACTTGAAAAAACCGTGGCTGACGCTGTGGCAGGACAGCCTCACGACAACAGCGAAAAGCAAAGTGCATCTTTAACATCTGTCATGGAAAGTAGCAGCCAAGATAAACTGGGGGCATCCTGTCAACCCAATAAACAAAAATTACCAGATCCTTCTGAAAATGGGGAATACAAAACACAATCTGAATCATCTTCTCCTCTAATTACAAAAGAAACTATTTCTAAACTGCACGTTTCACCGCAAAATGAAATGGAAGCAATACAACTTTGTGGAGATCAGACTGGCATGAAACAGCTTAAAGATACAGAGAAAGATTATAATAAAGCTGAACTTCACTGTCATGCAGAGTCTTCCAGTGATGGATACTCAGACTTTTCCAAGGAAACAAATCAGAAGGCTGCTGCTTCAGGAGAACCGGTGAAACATTCAAAAGCAAGAGAAGTCTGTAGTGAGCAAAGGGATAAATTAAACACTGAAGCAGGTCTTAACAACAGTGAAAATGCTTTAACAGTAACCAATAAAGAGGACAGAACATCATCTCCTCACGTCCATATGGAGGGATTTCTCACAGCTGATGAGCTGTGTGATGCATCAGCCTTGACCGAATACAAATCGGTTACAGCGGATTTAGATGATGTTTCAGAGTGCTCCACAGAACAAATAACAGAAAAATGTTCCCCTAGTTACACAGAGCCTATAGATCCTACAGAAATGCTAGAAAACCACGAAAATGCAGAAACTCCCTTTGGAGACCACTGGAGTAGTGGTACGGTAGATCCAAAAGAGAGTCCTGAATCAGATACCGGCAGTGCAACCACATCCTCTGATGATATAAAACCACGATCAGAAGACTATGATGCTGGAGGCTCTCAGGATGATGAAGGATCCAACGAAAGAGGGATTTCTAAATGCAGCACTATGTTATGCCACGATTTTCTTGGACGAAGCAGCAGTGACACAAGTACACCTGAGGAATTAAAAATTTACGACAGCAGCCTAAGAATAGAAGTAAAAATGAAAAAAGAGGGTTCTGATCTCTTCCGTGTTAATTCAACGAGTGATGATGAAATACCAAGAAAAAGACCTGAGATTTGGTCCCATCAAGGAGGTGCAAGGACCAATACTAGAGAAAGCAAAAGCTCTACTTTCCCCAATGCACAGTTTACGCAGGAAGCAGACCAAGTTTCTTCTTCCGCTGATGAAACAGAGGATGATAGATCTGAAGCAGAGAACATCGCAGAAAAGTTTCCTCCATCGAATGTTCCTCCTCCACAGTTTCAAGGAATCGATAATTTAGCTTTTGAAGACGCAACAGAACATGATACTGCAAGTCGCGACTTTTCTAAAACTAAACATTTCAAACGATCTGTTTTACTGTCAGTAGATGAATGTGAAGAACTGGGATCTGATGATAGAGTGGAAACTCGTACTTCGTGTCAGCATTCAGTAGATTCTCTTACTCCTTCAGAAGTATTTGACAGTGTTTCTCAAGAGCACCATGGAAAGACTTTTTATTCAAGATACTCCCTGGAAATTGAAGATGGATTCCTGGATTGCAAACAGCCTAAGGATAGAGACAATAGACCTGATAAGAGCGAAAGTTCTCCCCTACATCTTCATGGCACTGAAATCCCAGGGAAGGAGAATCAAGGTGCTTCAATGCCTGAACAGAATTGCCCAGAGAAAGTACATACAGCAGCTAGTCCATGTCCAGGAGAAAAACAAAATGTAAATACGAAGAATGAGGTGGCCAGTGAATTTCAGCAGTGCAATAATAAATACTTAGACAATGATGCAAAATCTCAAGAAAGACCGTGTCATTTGGATCTTCATCAGAGGGAAACTAATTCTGAAGTGCAAAAGAGCAGCTCTGCAAAACCTGTAGAAGGCAGTAAGAATCAGATACTGACTCAGGAAGGTCAAGTGAGAGACAGTCAACCAGCAACTACTGAATGCGCTAATACTGATTTACTTCCAGGTAATGTACAGAAATAGAAACATTCGGTCATTCAAAAATGAATTAATAGGGAAAGCTTTGGCAATTTGTCTGGGATTGAATCCTGAACTGAAGTAATTTTGGCTGAAACTATATTAAATTTAAATATTTTTTACTATTTCACTTGGGTAGAGAATGCCTGTCTGTTTGAAACATCCGCCAATACCCTGCTGTTCAATGAGAAACTTGACTACAGGAAAAGAGATTTTATGTAATGCTAAAAGAAAGATTGGATGCAGTTGTCTGTACTTGAGTTATTTTTGATCCAATCTAACATTGACAGCATCAGCTTTTGATGGAATCTTAGTATTTGTTTTGTCTGCTTGACAACATATAGTATGTCTGAATGGGATGTGCAATAACTACAGTAATAACCTTAACTAAAGCGCACTGAACTGTTTACCTTAACAGCTATATGCATTATTGTTGTAATTTATTTATTTATATATTATACACAAATTTGGATCCCTCTCCCGCTGAATATAACTGAGTATTTGCCATATGCATCAGTGGGAGCAGGTTTGAACTCTGATTTAGAGCTTATGAGATGTCTAAAATTCTAAATTTTACCAGTAAGAGCTTATTTCCTAAAAGAGAGATTATACTTAGAACTAATGCTTGTATACAGAAACGTTCTAACGTGTTTCACGTAGCTAGATGAATACTTGTCTAGTTGTTTGGTGTTTTGTCTTCTTTATACCAATAACTCGGTCTGTTTTTACCATCAAAAATATACAATAGTGTTGATTCCAACTATTGTGTATTCAAGAGTAACAAAACGCTGATGATGATCTGTGTTCAGCCAGACCACAGAACAAGAAGACATTCAAAGTTGTACAATTTTTTTTTAAGTTTGCTTGCCCTTGCCTGCAGCTGCCCTTGCATGTGCAGTGTAGAAATAAGCCTGTGGATAAACTGTTTTGGTTTTAATTCTCTTCTAAGCTGACATAGCTTAAGTCACCATTCAGTAATCATTCTCTATTAATTCCCTCCATGCACCTTCTGGTCTAAACTTAATTTATGTCGTAAATGAGAAATTTCATGTACATTAAGTGTATATTTACATTGTCATTTTCTGTATCAGAAACTTAATTATGGAGGTTACTGTTAATTGCCAGTGGTGATTACTGCTTTAACTTAATTTATAAATCATACTTTGTTTTTTATATAGGAAATAAATGCCTCAAATTTTGTCACTTTTGTATAACCCTCCATCCCCCCTTTTTTAACATGGTTGGATTGTCCTTCCTGAATGAGTTAAATTTTGCTCTACACAGCCCTGAGGGGAGGATCATCTACAATTTTTACATTGTACAGTATTGTGAATTATTTCAGGAGACATAGATGATTATGACACAATGGCACAAACCTGCATGTATGAGCATCGGCCTTCAAAAACCCTTTCTCCAATATATGAGATGGATGTTGGAGAAGCAATTGAGCAGAGGATGGATTCAGAAACAGCAGTTCTAGATGTGGAGTTTGAAGATCAGCAGTTTGCAGAACAGGACTGGACTCTCCTTAGGCAATTGTTATCTGAGCAGGACTCAAATATAGGTTTCAAAAACTCTGTTCCTGAAGACCTTAACTTAGCACAATGTCTCATCAATCAGACACTGTTTCTGGCACGAGATGGTTCGAATCCTCAGGGTACATCACAAGTTGACACATTCAGTAGGTGGACTGAACTTATGTCTCCACTTGATGACTCTTCAGCAAGCATTACAGTGGCAAGCTTTTCATCTGAAGACTGTTCATCCCCTCAAGGGGAATGGACCATTCTTGAACTGGAAACCCATCATTAAGGTGATCAAATGTTTGCAACTGAACTCCAACCCATTCCCCAAATCTATTTTTGATGAGTTGTTTCCATACAATAATGAAATACTGCATCAGTCAAGAACAAGCAATTCTTGATACTGAGGCAATCTTTCTGATATAATGAGGTAAATATGTTAATTTATAATCTAGATTTAATCACAATAAGTACAGTAATTTTTCAAGACTTAAATGTATGTCTTTTCTAAAAATGAACTTTTAAGCATGTATTTTCTAGAATTGTTAGATTAGATTATGTGAAAGAAAAATCTTGGTTTCCACTCTCCCTTTTATCTTCCTTTCTGACACTTAATATTCTCATTGAGCAAGAATTTAAAGATGACTGCACATTTACAAGAGCTATTCCTCTCCTTTCCCCCCACTCCCATATGGTGACTTCATTTTACAACAATAAAGATTCAGAATGGTTGTGTTGAAAGGTGATGTGTGCCAACACTGCTTTAAAGAATGGAAACATATACTTATGTTCCAAGAAAACATTTCAATATGAATCTGCCTTGGGCCTTATTAATATGAGCAGCTTGTTTCATCTGTTTCTTCCAGATTTGATTTCTGTATTTTTGGTTTTGTTTAGAAGCTTCCAATAAATTTCTTTTAATTGTCTTTCCTTTAAATGTAAGACTTCAGAGGGTCTGTGCTATAGGAAGAGCACTGTTTCTGTCTTGGAAATGCACATATTGAAGTAAATATTTTTAATGGCATAGTGCATTAATTCAGAGGAGTTGGTAGAATGCTGCTCCGGCTCTAAAAAAACACTATGTCTGGTATCTCCAAAAGGGTATCTCAGTCTGAAGTTACGGTCAGTGTTAGATCAGAAGTCTGGTCTAGAATTACCTTCAGGCCTCGATTCATTACACTTGCACCCTTCTGGCACTGTCTGAGGCATAGCAAGATTCTCAGAAGTTTGGGTTTGTTTCCTCTCGTAGATGCTATGTTTTTGTAGGAGTAACAGAATTCTTGCATCTTCATTAATACTGCCAGTGTGGCATTTATATTGAAACTAAATGTCAACATAATCATTCTTCTGACTAAGAGTTGAAATAGGATATACTTAGTGCTGTTCATTCTGCTGCTTTTGGCTCTTAATTTGGGTGTGGACAGGGCAGTCTTTTCTGATTTGAGGGGGGAGGAAAGGAGTGAGAAATTATTTGTAATTCATCCCAAGTCAGAACTCCTCCTGAAACACACAGGGTTTTTATCGAGGCCCTCTAAGATATCTGCATTATGGAAATAGTGGGGCTTGTCTTTCACACAGCTTAAAATCTAAACAGGAGGTATTCTACCTCCTCTTAGTCATTAACAGAAGTGCCTTTAAAAGTGGGTGCTATATGGCAGTAAAAAGCTACTAACATTTTGTAATTGTTAAAACTATTGAAGTGCACAACTTAAGCCATCTGTAACCACTGATAATATGGTCAGTTTTGCAAGCTTTTGCACAATTCCAACAGTGCACCTTAATTTTCTTTAGAAACTTCATTTCTTTTCAGTCAGAAACTCTCAGTTGCGTGGAAATATTATGTTGTCCCAGCATATGACTAAAGTAGTTATGACTTGGTTTATAATAAAGATCTCTGAAGCAAAACAGTTTACCTAGAAAGCCACTTTGTTGAACTTCTGATACAGAAGTAAGAGTGACGTTTTATTTTCCCCAAATTAAATGAAGAATTTTATCTCATTCTTTAATATCAAGACAGGAAGAGGGAAAAAACAAACCAGGAAAACTTTATTTTCTCTTTATGTCAATGACGAAAGACATGAAACTCATGGAAGGAAGGTGTTCAGTCTCATAATATAATGAAAATCTTTCCTGTACTCTTTTAGCAGCATAAATAGTCTGAGATATAGTTCAGAATATTTTAGATGTAACATGCTCTATGTATCCCAGTCTTCATATTGGGTGAGTTAGGAGAAACTTCAGAAGTGCAAATCATCAAGAAAACCTGTTTTTTTACCTTAAGGTTTACAACATCTATCAACAACTGATAATCGTTTGGATAAGTGAATGAACTATAGTATTAGCCATAGTAAAAGATAAAGCTCTAGAGAAGCTCTTACAGAAGGCTGAGGAATGGTGTTTTTCAATTTCTGTGTAAAAGACAAGAAGTCGTTTAAAATAAAGTTTAATCAACTTTAAAATCCTGATGATAGTCTGGTAGTGGACATTCATGTGTTAAACAATGAAACTATGGGAGGGAAAAGATAAAGGATTAGGAAAAGTGGCAGAAAGTGAAAGAAGGGTCCCTTTTTGTCTATTTTTTTGCTTTACCTGTATTTTTAACTTCATACTGAATTGAAAAAGTAACACTGAAAAGTGACATACAAAGTTCCATGTTTATCATAGGAAATACAATCACCTATAGAGTTTTAATTTTTTTTCTTTGTATTTACTTTTCCAGTTGTATGAAAGTTAAATTAGCTTCCTTCTTCAAGTCCTCAATGACGTTGTTGCAATTCCTGTAACAGTGTTGCAGTGGATCAGTGATTAGGATTTGGTGTATTGTTCGGTTGGTGCATACGCAGCCATAGAATTCAGCTTCCCACAGCCAAATAGTTTCTGTAGAAGTAGCAGGAATAGAAAGTGGTATTGTTTTTAATTCGCGTTACCAGAGTGCCTGTGGGGCTTAATCAGACCAGCATCCCACTGGCTAGACATTCTGCAAACATGGAACAAAAACAAGGACTTCCCACAGAGTGGTTATAATCCAAGTTAAGACAAAAGACAAAAACAAAACACGGATGGAAAAGTAAAATGAGAGTGTCAATATTTGTCTAGATGATTAGCTATGGTTTCAGCGCACCATCAGTTTAAATGTTGTCATTTTATCGTTCTGTATACATTATGAGAAGGGGAAATGGGAGGGTGAGATTTGGAGGCTGGATAATGAGGGAGCTGTGAGGACCTATATTCCTGACCAGCCCTGTGTGTTAGCTAAACTCTTTTCCTCTTTGACCTTGTTTAGCAGTCTCTCCTCATTCAGGAGCTTTAAGCAGGTAGAGGTGGCTATCTGTTTAATAGTATCAGTCACTTGAGTTCTCTGGAGTCCTGCTCATGCCTCCTGACAGTGATTTTGTCACTGTATTGGTGTCTCCTCCAAAACATGAGAGAAGTGAGAGAATGAAAACTTCATATACAAACAATTAAAGCTCCAAGTTAAGAGTGATTAAGAGGTCCTGAATGACCACTAAAGTAAAGACAAAGTATGTCCATCTGATGAAACAGTGAAAGTATCAGTGAAGAAACTAAAGAACAAGATAGCATAGTCAAAATAATGTTTAAGAATTTACCTTTGCAGTAGTATTTTGAATGAGTAAGAACAGCGAAATTGCTTTGTCAAATCCTGTTGCAGTTAACAGGTGATAATAATAGCTTACATGAGATTGTTATGTGAATGGGTAAAGATGTCTGTACCCTACAGGTAGTAACAAGAAATTTAGTGAAACATCAGTGAAATTAAGAGGTGAGGACTCAGAAATCAGAGTTTAAGATAATTACCCGGTTTTTGCCTACCTTGAATGACATGTTACAAAAATGAAAAATAAGGAAGGATGTTTTATGTGTATAGATTACTAAGTTTAAAATAGGCTAGACCTCTAAAAAGTGATGTCAGTAGGCGTAATTACTTTTTTTTGCTTGGAAAATTAGAGTCTAGTCTGGACTAGAGAAGCAGCTCTGCAGGTTTTTCACATACAGATGCTAGCTACAATAGTATTTGTGGAATAAATCACCGACAGATAGATTGCAGAGGGAAAAGAGAAGAAAACTGAAGCCATACACTTGGAACCACTACAGGAAATTGAGCAAAGTGGAGTTTCTTCCAAATTATCAGCTAAAAAAAACAATTAGGGAAGCAAAGGAAATAAAGATGGTTACAGGAGTCAAATGAGGATGACAGGATGTAAGGGGAAAAGTGCTGCTGGCTTCATTGCAGATGGCCCACAGACTGATGAGTATAAAACAGCAGCTTAAGGCTGGTTAAGAACATGTTCTTAAGGACTGTGATCAAAATGAGATACCGACTTCCTAAGAATGAAAGGCAGGCAGATGCCAGTTTGGTAGAGTATGACAGAACTGCAGGAAGGAAACTGAGCTTAACCATTAAAGAGAGGCAACAGTTAGAAAAGCACATCAGTTAATATACTTTTTTAAAGGCATGGGATTATACCATATTTCTATAGTGTAGCAAAAGAAATTAGGCAGCTAAGACCTAAAGTGAAGATCAGGAGAGGTAAGTACACATGAAATTACATCAGCAGGCAGGCTGGGCTCCTACCACAAATGATCAGATAAAAGCGTAAGAAAAGACAAACATCTGCTTTTGTGGTAGGGGTAGTGGAAAGGACACTCCATGTATTCATCATTTTTCTCTTAGAAACACTTGCTGTAGAATCATAGAATTACCAAAAAATGCAGGCTTGAAGGGACCTCCAAACGTCTACAGTCTAACCTACTAAAAGCAGGGTAACTTCAAAGTTAGATCAGGTTGCTAGGGCTATCGAGGTCCATAGCGTGTAAAAGGGTCATGAAGTTGGCAGACAGGAACATGGTGCTCACAGGAAACAGTTATTTGTGATAAAAATATATTCTCATTATAAATAATAATAAATTGACATTAGGTATTGTTGGAAAACATTAGTAATGAAGGACAAGAAATAGAGCTTCCTTGCAATATTTTTAATTACTGGATGATAGTGACAAAACTGTAAGTTTAATAATCTTGTTCCGCAGTTTTAAAGGATTTAAATTATTTCAAAATTACACTGTATTTTTTGAGTTTGCAGATTTTATTATTATTTTGGAGGAACTAGTGGGCAAGAGAACTTCCCATGTTTCTCACACAAGGACTGTCTATAGGATCTGTTTCCTTAGTGTTGTCATCTCAGTTTCTTTCAGGGAATAATAACAAAATATAATAATAATGCACTTGTTCTAGGTACAGATTGCAGGAGACTATTTTAAAACTTTGAG